CTGTTCTGTGTGTCTGAGCGTCTGACAGGCGTCTGGACCTCAGGATCGTCCGAGTCTGGGCCGCTGGGAACGACGATCCTGAAACACACGCTGCCTTCAGAGAAGAGCTCAGGCCCATTCACACACAACTACACTACCAGTCAGAAGATCTGTGATGCTTTTTAAAGACGTCTCTTCTGCTCACCAAGCCTGCATTTATTTGATCCATAATACAGCAGAAACAGTGACATTTTGAAATATTATTACAGTTTAAAATAACAGTTTTCTATGTGAATACATGTTAAACTGTAATTATTTCTGTGATGCGCAGCTGTATTTTCAGCATCATTACTCCAGTCTTCAGTGTCACATGATCTTCAGAAATCATTCTAATATACTGATTTGGAGCTCAAAAAACATTTCTTCTTATTATTATTACTATCAATATTTAAAACAGTTGAGTATATTTTTTCAGGATTCTTTGATGAATAGAAAGATCAAAGATCAGCATTTATCTGAAATAAATAGAAAATATTTATATTTCAGATAAATGCAAAAAAAGCATAAAAAATCTTACTGTCCAAAATCTTCTGACTGGTAGTGTAAGTCAACAGCTGTAAGCAGAACTACAACAGCTGCTATAGTCAGAATGCTGGAGCTCTGTAACGTCAGACAGGTTCTGATTGGCTGTCAGTGTTTTTAATGGTTCTGAAAGCTCTATTGCTCCTCTGTGTGGTTATGGCTGTAAAGCCCTGTTCACACCAAGGACGATAACTATAAAGATAACGATATTAGCGATATCGTCTGTTTATTCTCAGCGCATGCGCGTCTGCCACTTTAAATTCTCCAGCTCGTGACAGCAGGATGGATTCTGATTGGCTCTCAATGTTTGTATCGTTCATCAAGCTGGGAAAAAAAATAGCTCTGAAAGTGATTCAAACGATATCGTTTCTCTGCGTCTTTATCGTTATAGCTGTGGCGTGGACTCTGCCGTTCTTTAATATTCAGAACGATATCTTTATCTCTATAGTTATCGTGCTTGGTGTGAACGGGGCTTTAGAGTGAATACTGTGAGGGTCAGATCTGTGGAGGTCAGTGACCTGATCTGCGTCTCCTCCTCCTCCTCAGCGCTGAGCTGGCTGTCGTCCTCCTGCACCAGGCGTGAGATAGTCATGCCGGCGTATGCTGTCTCCGGCTGCGTCTCGGACAGGGCCAGGTGCAGCTCGGGGCTCTCCTCCTCCTCCTGCTCCAGCTCCTGCTGCAGCTGCTTTCTCTGCGTCTTTATCGTTATAGCTGTGGCGTGGACTCTGCCGTTCTTTAATATTCAGAACGATATCTTTATCTCTATAGTTATCGTGCTTGGTGTGAACGGGGCTTTAGAGTGAATACTGTGAGGGTCAGATCTGTGGAGGTCAGTGACCTGATCTGCGTCTCCTCCTCCTCCTCAGCGCTGAGCTGGCTGTCGTCCTCCTGCACCAGGCGTGAGATAGTCATGCCGGCGTATGCTGTCTCCGGCTGCGTCTCGGTCAGGGCCAGGTGCAGCTCGGGGCTCTCCTCCTCCTCCTGCTCCTGCTCCTCCTCCTCCTGCTCCAGCTCCTGCTGCAGCTGCGTGAAGGAGACGCTGACGCCGTAGCGCTCGCTCAGCACGCCGTACACCTGCCGCAGACTGCGCAGACTCAGACGCGCAGACACACTGCTAACACACACCAGGAACAAGAGCAGACACATTTATACACTAGCACAGGATCGGTTCACGTTTACCTTTTTACATTTACATTTGGTCTAAGTTTAGTAAATGTATGTGCTCGAGTCTTTATGTTTTTTTTTCTTTAAATAACTCCATTAAGCCTTCAGTTTTAGTCATTTCTGTATTTCTACTTCTTATATTTCAGAGTTACCAAGACAGCATTTCTAATGTTCATTTAGGTTTTTTAACTTTACATTTTTTCGTCTAATATTTACATTTCATTTCACGGTTGTAATGCACAGGATTAACATCAGACGGTTTACGTACACATCCATATTGCCATTTCAGAATTAATTATACACTATTTTAGTATTTATGAATATTTTGAGTTAGTTTTTACTTTCTTAGCTTCAAAGCTTTAGTAATTGTGCTTTTCTGAAATTATTAGTTATTGCTTGTATTAATATTTTGAGTTAGCTTTTTATATTTCAAGTCATTTTAATTACAGTTTGAGTTTTAGTCATTTAGTTATGTGCTTTATGTTTCTATTTCTATATATTTTATCCCAGTTTTAGCTATTTAAATATTTCAACTTTTCAGTTAGTTGCCAAGGCAACATTTTTAATGTTTCATTTAAGTTTTTAGTATTATTTACATACTATTGTAGAATGTATTAATATTTTCAATGGGCTTTTATGTTTATGCCATATGATATAATATATATATGTAATTGTATGTTGATATTATATAGGGATGTAACGATACCATTTTTTCCGATCTGATCCGATCCAGAAAATTCTGAGTATCGGCCGATTCTGTGCTAGTTGGTATTAGTTTTCTTTAAATCAATGCAGAATTTCTATACCTCAGTGTGTTGACCTGATCGTCACTCTTTTGTGTGTTAAACACAATTACTAAATATAGACAACTTCATTTTAATGAAAAATAACAAATGAAAAAATATATAATCATAACCTATGACAAAAATACTATTATAAACTAGGTTAGAGGATAATTTAGCAGCAAAAGTTATTCTAGGAAAATCATGAGTGCACAGTAATTCTATAAAATCTAAACATTTAGTGAAGTAATGTTATTAAGTGGGGAACAAATAGAAGTGAATAAGTGTGCACTAGTAACAGCACTAGTTGCCATCTCACTGGTGCTGTGTGTGTTTACCCATGATCCTCTGCGGCGGCGCTGGTCTTCTGTCTGTCCTGTGAGGATGAGGTGACAGGCTCAGAGCTGACGCCGGGGTGTCCAGAGCGCTTCAGCATCTGCACACACACAAACACACACACACACACACACACACACAGGGTGAGGAGAGACAGGAGCGTCTGAGGCGAGCAAGGCAAGTGAGGCGCACCTGCAGGAGGAAGGGCTCGGGGACGCGGTACAGCCGCTCGATGAAGTCCAGCATGTCCTGCTTGAAGTCGGCGTAGGAGCTGAGCTGCAGCACTGAGTGAGAGGAGCGCCGGCGCCGGATCAGGCTCTCGAACAGCTTCTTCTGCACACACACACACAGAGAGAGAGAGAGAGAGTCAGAGATGTCACACACCAGACACACAGCAGCTCCGTCAGCTCCTCACCTTCCCGGCCAAGTCTGCGGCGTCGCTGAAGTGTCTCAGCAGCACCTCCTCGGCCCTGGCGAACTCCCCGCCGCGCAGGCACACCATGACCAGCTGCACAGACAGACAGACAGAGACACGCTCAGGGTTTGTGCAGCCTTCTGAGAGAAATTCAAGCACTTTTAAATGACTTCCAGGCATTGCAAACAGCTATTTTCAGCTCAAAACATGATCCAAATTAAATGTTATTTTCAATGGGATGACCAAAATATAGTTTTGTGGTAAACAAACACCTACGTTAAACTAAAAAACACATCAAATCGCCATTATAACCAGTAGACGGCAGCACTTATCGGCTTATTAGTCATTAATTTCTACTTTTAGCTTTATATTTAAAAATGATAAAATCACTGTTATAAACTATCAAATCATCAAGAAATCAAAGTGTTGCACTTTTTTTGTGTATGAAGTCAGAAAAGTCACAAAACGCCTTGAAGAACAAACTTTTCTTCAGTTTGCGACTGAATGACATGGAGAGCCATCCACTTGCCGCTCAGTTCTGTGTAATACTACAGAAGAGTAGTGCAGCTCGTTTAATAAGAGCAGAATACACAGGTGTGTAGGCCTGTCACGATAACAACTTTTTGTTGTGCGATATATTGCCCCAGAAATAATTGTGATAAGCGATATTATTGTCATTTTAAAGACCATTTTATGCCACTGAATATATAATCATAATGTAACAGCATAATAATGCAAGAAGGCCTACACGCTTACAAATGACATCAAACTTTTAATTTTTAAGAATATTTAGATCATGCAAATTAAGTATCAAAATATTAGATACCTTAAAAAACCTGAATAAATAGTAAATAAACATTTTCTAACAAAAAGTGCAAAGTAACAAGTAGAAAAAAAAGAAAATTGCACAAAGTACTTGTATGGAGATTTTTCCATCTGCAGATGTTTCCCTGACATTTTCTCTGTAAATGAAGGGTGCACACTAGTGCTGAAAAACACAATCACTACTCAGCAGTCAGATGTCCGTACGCACAAAGACACAGATCCCTAAACAAGACCATATCTGCAGATGAAACCTTTTTTGTAGAAGCATTTTTAAATGTGAACGAGCATCTCATGACTACACCACGTTATGTCCGAGAAGCTGCAAAAGACACAGGCGCAAGTGGAATGTACAAAACATGGTGACATTAATCTTTAAGTAAATATAATGGGCGATATATTGCGTCACCAAAAATGATTGAGGTCATGAACATATATTGCGCGATAAGTCGATATATTGATTATTGCTACAGGCCTACAGGTGTGAGATGAGGTTTTGCAGTGTGTGTGTGTCTGACCGTCTCGATGATGGCCTGCTTGACGCACTCCTGCTCCCGCGGGGGGACGCTCATGTCCCGGCAGATGCTCTCCAGCACGCTCAGAGCCGACTCCAGAGGGGTCTTGGGCTCCTCAAACGTCAGATCTGCCGCAGAAACACCCATCAGCACCGGCGCTCACACTCACCAGGCCTCAACACTCACTTTGCTCAGAACAAGATGCTGATTTAACTTTTCTGCATAAAATTCAACCATTTTTTTAACTCTATATCTACAAAATGATGAATAAAGAATGTGCATCGTGTTTTTGATTTTCTCTTCTTTTATTTAAGGCTATGTAAACTGAATCATTATATATTTTATGGTAATTATGTAATAATATAATATGTTGTTTATGTAACATATAGTTTTATTGCACATTGCAAAAAATAATCTTTGATTCCGTCAAAATGAAAGCGTTAAAGTGCAGTATGAATCGCTGATAGCTAGCGGTTTAAATGCAGTCCAGATTCAAAATATCTCTTTCAAGTGTAGAAATTAGGAAAGAAGTATTGTATTTTCCTAATGTAGTGTAAAGCAAAAATAACATACCTATGAAATATTCATTTTCATTTATTTTACAATATATGGCTATTACTGTAATTGTTGTTATTATTATATTCTAACTTGTTTGGCTTCTCAAACACCAGTGTTCGTGTAATTTACACTGAGACAGTAGATCACAAATAAAAAGAGGGTTGAGTCCGCTTTAAAGTTCAGCTACAAGACTTTTTTCTGACTTAAGTTTTCTTAGTTAAGAACATGGGTTGCAGCTCTTAATTTTGAACTCTCAAAGTGCATTAGATAGAATAATTTAACTTTAAATGTACAAAATGTTCAGTTTTTCCAATTCTTCATTTGTCTTTTTTTTTTTTTTGAAAGGAACACTCCACTATTTTTGAAAATAGGCTCATTTTCCAGCTCCGCTAGAGTTAAACAGTTGAGTTTTACAGTTTTCGAATCCATTCAGCCGACCTCCGGGTCTGGCGGTAGCACTTTTAGCTGTAGCTTAGCATAGATCATTGAATCTGATTAGACCGTTAGCATCTCGCAAGAGTTTTGATATTTTTCCTGTTTAAAACCTGACTCTTCTGTAGTTACATCGTGTACTAAGACCAACGGAAAATGAAAATTTGTGATTTTGTAGGCCGATTTGGCTAGGAACTATACTCTCATTCCGGCGTTCATTTTCCGTCGGTCTTATCGTGTAATAGTCAAGTGCTCAAGCGCAAAGACCACAAGTGTGTGGGTATTTGGACAAGGGGGTAGTGGTCGACCGATATATCTCCAAGGCCGATATATCAGCCGATATTTGGCATTTTTCAAATATTGTCTAATAATCAGATAGAACGGTTAAACAAAGGAATTAAAATGTATACAAAGTATTATATTATTAGTAATAGAAAAGGCAAACATTATAATATCAAGCTGTGAGATCTTGTGAAGTGTGCATGTGATCTGCATGATCGTGTGTTCTCTGCGTGACGGTCGGTCCGTGTGAGTTGAATAAGGACAGGAGGAGAGTTCAGCTTCACTGGAGACGCGCGATTGTAAACTCGTGATTTCAAATTATGCTGTGCTTTATGCATTTACCCTGTCATATTCATGTCATTTCCACTGTGTGCTGTGTGTAAAATTAGTGTTACCTTGGCTTTATTTGAAAAAAATATGATTCCCAATGCACACAACTTCCCAGAATACCGAGTGCCCTGTTGGTTACGGTGTTTACTTCCTTTTTAATTATATTTTTATTACATATTTATTTGTGAAAATACTTTGTCATCTAAAGTATACGTGTGTTTATTTTTTTTTATCCATTTTCAAATTTCTTAAATATTAATTAAAATACATAAAATTATATCGGCATCGGCTGTCAAAAAACACATATCTGTGGACCACTACAAGGGGTCTCTCCGTCATGACTTGAACGCGCGTCACTTCCGCTCACTCACCGAGCTTGTCCCCGTTGTTGATCCGGGACAGGAACTGCATGCAGCGCAGCTTGACGATCATGTCGCTGTGTCCGTCGACGGGTCTGACCACCAGATCTGACACGACACACACCAATATCATTTCAGTGAGCGACACACAGAGCTCTGGCGGTTTGTGCAGGTGTAGCGCTAAAGCTAAAGCTAGCGCGCGGATGTAAACAAACCCACTCACTCTCGATGATGCTGGTGAAGTGCGTGAAGGCCGTGTAGTCCGCGTCTCTGAAGGCGCTCAACGCCTTGAACACGTAGTAGTCGAAGCCCCAGCGGTTGATGATCTGCTCGTCGCTCAGAGAGCGCACTTTACTCGCGGACTCGCTCATTCCGATCAGGGTTTAATCGCAGCACACGCGCTTCCCGCGCTCAGACTGCAGCAGGGGGCGGGGCGCAGCGTCAGGCGGCGCCTCTGATTGGACAGAGCGATGTGACGTGAGGCTGATTTCAGAACACGTGAAGGGAAATGTTGATAGATATGCCCCATTAACCGATCATAAACTTATTTCTTTAACTCCTACAGGCTCAAAGAGGATCTCTAGTCTTAGAGGGAACAGGAAATGTAATAATAATCTTCTTAAAGATGATAACTTCAATGCCTGCGTTAAACATATTTTTGCAGGAATGAAGCATTTTAAAATAAATGGGATTTTTTCCAATATTAATGTCAGAAAGATTAAGAATTTAATCAACAAACAAAAGGAAATAGAATTACTTGATAATTGATGTATATTGGAACAGAAGCAAATTCTTACTAAAGAAGAAGAAGTTGAATGAGCTCAAATTCAATCTCTGCTAGATATAAAAATACAAGCTATTATCGCTCTAGAGAAAATAAATACTTTATCAGCTGTAAATATTAATGGAAGCCCCTGTACAGACCCTGAAAACAATTCTGATTCAGTTTTTTCCTTTTATAGTAATCTATATAACTCTACATTACATACAAACCTGATAAAGACCCACATCTTTTAGAAAATTGGAGGCCGATCTCCTTTCTAACAATTGATTATAAACCAATTCCTTCGGTATTTGCTAATAGATTATGTAAATAAATGTTTAATCAGTATGTTTTTTTTAATTGGATGCTGCTTAAATAACCTTTAATAGACCCGGCTTGGAGGTTCCTGAAGCCCTAAACACACGGCAGGATTTTTAGAAAGTCATCCAGCAGGTGATCGCGTAATTGTTCATCAGACTGAACAAACTGCTTCTGATAACGTGTCAAAAAATCTTGTGCCAAGTGCCATGACCCATGATTTTTATCATATCGATCGCATGATCAGTGTCTTGCTATTTGAGAGAAATTTGTAAAACTTCCCCAAACTTTACTGGATCGGCTTCGACATACTGTCATAGGCGCTGTGTTTTTCTATCAGATTGCATCAGAGAGAGCTGCGGTGCGGTTTTACACTAGAGCCCCCACTGGCCAAACCGTGTTATTGCAGGCCCTCACATGCTGTCACTTCAGATCAAAATGATTATTCGACAACAAAAATATTTATAGACAATTTTTCATTGTCGACATTGTCAATAATGTCGACTAATCGTTCCAGCCCTACATTGTAATTATATACACTACCAGTCAGAAGTTTTTGGACAGTAAGGTTTGTAATGTTTTTTAAAGAAGTCTCTTCTGCTCACCGAGCCTGCATTTATTTGATCCAAAGTACAGCAAAAACAGTAACATTGTGAAATTATTTAAAACTATTTAAAATAACTGTTTTCTATTTGAATATATTTTAAATTGTAATTTATTTCTGTGATTTCAAAGATGAATTTTTAGCATCATTACTCCAGTCACATGATCCTTCAGAAATCATTCTAATATTCTGATTTGCTTCTCATAAACATTTATAATAATAATTATTATTATTATTATATTATGAAAACAGCTGATTAGAATTTTTCAGGTTTCTTTGATGAATAGAAAGTTCAGAAGAACAGCATTTATACTGACTCCAAGCTTTTGAATGGTATAGTGAATATAATGTTACAAGAGCTTTTTACTTCAGGTAAATACTGATCTTTACTGATCTATTCATCAAAGAATCCTGAAAAAATGTACAGTAATCTACTGTTTTAAATATTGATGATAATAATAATAATCAGAAATGTTTCTTGAGCTCCAAATCAGCATATTAGAATGATTTCTGAAGATCATGTGACACTGAAGACTGGAGTAATGATGCTGAAAATACAGCTGCGCATCACAGAAATACATTAAAGTTTAACACATATTCACATAGAAAACAGTTGTTTTAAATTAGAATGATATTTCAAAGTTTTTGTATTGCACATTTCATCAAATAAATGCAGGATTGGTGAGCCGAAGTGACTTCTTTCAACAACTTAAAATTTGAATGACCCTAACCTTTTGAACAGTAGAGTTTATGTTAATAACAAATCTTGTATAATGATGACGATGAACTGTTGGTCCTAAAACAGTAGACTAACACTTCTCTTAACAACGTTCTCTTAAGCCGATTATGCTTAATAAGCCGAAAACGCACTTGGTCATGTAAACGAGGTAACCCGTTTTCTTTTATCAGAGTAAGGTCATAAACGGCGTAAGCATAAACCGGTCGCAACAGGTAGTTTTTTTCCTCTTACTCCGATTTCGCACGGCATATAAATGCAATAAACCGCTTTCTGTTGGCTTATTGAAGTGCGCATGTGTGATACGTGACAGGAACGCATCGTTAGTGCAGATTTAAGCACATCTAGACCAAGCAAACGTCTTGCAGTAAAGAAAGAAGGAAATATATCACAAAAGCAGACGTTTTCATGACTCAGAAAATGATAAAAATATGTTCTCATCTCGTGCAGCAGAAGTGGTTCAGTCCAACCCGATCTCATGGAAGTGCGTATAAATAGTACGCCAAATAAAAACGAAAACTCGTGGTATTGATAGGCAAAAATGGACTTTGGCGTGTATATGCTACGCGATGGGTAGGTTTAGGGTTGTGTGGTAGATGCGTATCATATGCACGCCAACAAATTTCGTATCATATGTACGCGAAAACTGCGTATCATATGCACGCCAAACACATGCGTATCATATGCACGTGAAAACTGCGTATCATATGCATGCCAACAAATTTCGTATCATATGTACGCGAAAACTGCGTATCATATGCACGCCAAACACATGCGTATCATATGCACGTGAAAACTGCGTATCATATGCATGCCAACAAATTTCGTATCATATGTACGCGAAAACTGCGTATCATATGCACGCGAAAACTGTGTATCATATGCACGC